AGAGAGGAGCCTCTATGCTGTGCCCTTATAGCTGCCACAGGTGGGGTCACCCTCTTTCTTACCTCATGCAATGGCAGGGGCAGCAGGTTTGTGAGCAGTTTGTAGCCAGAAGGAAGGAGCAGCAGGCTGCATATTGCGGTGAGGGGCCTTGGGGCTGTGTTTCCAGCCAGGGAGATGGAGCACCTGAAGCTCCTGAAATTTCCCAACCTGCTGTGCTGAGTGCACCGGGCAATTTTGTTCACCTGTCCTTTCTATTGAACAGCAAGCTCTGTGTAATCCTTGCCCCTTTAGCAACCCTCTCACTGTTGGGAAGTGTTTCAAAGTGCCTGCCTTTCTTTTGTCCTGGAGCAGCCGTTTGTGGATCCCTGTTCTCCACAAGCAGCTGGAATCTGTTTCTCTGAGTATTCTGCCTGTCTTAGTTTTCCAACCCCACTAATCTCCATAGTACCATGTAATGTAAGTTTGTGGTCCCAGAGCAGATCTCCAGGGCTGGGTGTTCAGCAATCCTAGTCCTCCACCCACTGTGCGCTCTATTTCTCTTCCTCCCTCTGGTGAGCTGGGTTTGGGGTAGGGCTTGGGTCCCGCCAGATTGCAGCTTTGCTACTTTACCCTTGTCTGTGAGGTCTTCTCTTTTCCCCAGATGTAAGCAGTCTGTTGCAGTCTTCTTTCCTTTTGTTCTTTCAGGATTAATTGTATTTGCTGTATTTTCATATTATATGTTGTCTTGGGAGGAGTTTTCTGTCTCATTTCTTACACTGCCATTCTTAGGCCCATCTTATCTCTTAAAGTCACTTCTCATCAGGTCTGCCATTTACATTGTTTTAATTTGGTAGAGTTGTTGAGAGAAACTATAATCAAGAATTTTTGTCGGAGTTTTTTATAAGAGACTTAAAGATATACTCTAATAAAAGATTTTTGTTTGGAAGAATGAAAATATTAAAGTTCTCATTGGTTTGGAAAATTGAATCTCCTCCATGAAAGACACTGTATTGACCCTGCAAGAGTGTATATACAGTTAAACCTCACTCATGCCTTAAAGATGTTACTCACTAGTAGTGACAAGTATATGAAAAGGAGCTGATACAAAACAGTGACTGCTCTGTGACTTTTCTTCTGTTCTAAGACAAGATACAATGTAGACAAGAAACAATGTGCTATGTGAATCAAAAAGAAATTATTCTGAAAAGGGAACCAGGAAGAGCTGCATAGCAAAGTGACCCTTTAGAATTTGGTAGCAGTTCACAAAAATACTTAAAACTACTCTTTTAAAAAGACTATAATGAGTCATATATTGTGATTCAGTCCTTTGCTTTTTGATTTCCCAGATATGTTGACTCAAAATGTTTATTTTATTGTGTAGCCAAAAAAGATTTTACAGTGTGAGTGTCTTCTATGTAAAAATATAGAAAAGATTTGATGAATGGAGAAATGGACAGTTAACTTATCAGATAATTAGCAAACTTTTACCAGCCATTTCCAATTTCCTAACTTTTTATGAGCCTGGATTTACCAACCACATTAAATGGCAAAGTTTAAAAATACCACCCTTAAATTCACTTAGCTGTAGTGAAATAATGCCAATGCTTAGCACTGTTCCACATTTGAATCCTATGAAATTCACCACAGGACTTACTTCTTAATGCTTAAGTTTCTTATTTATTACATCCTTCTTTGCATCTGTTCAATCAGATGAATGTTTCTGTGCCAGTGTTCTGTCCTGCTGTGGAATCCTGTCAGGTGGAATTACAGTTAACACATATTCTCCCTTTCATGACGTGCTTTGTATTTAAGGAAGGAAGAAATTTTGTGGGAATTATTTGGACTCAGCCTAGAATGTATTTTTATTCTCCCATGCAGAGAAATGGATATAAAAAATAAATGCAACATTTATAGAGGTAGTATCACACGTAATTCACTGACTAGTGATGGGAGCTAAGGGTGAATAGAGAATCTAAGTTTTTCTGTTAAAAATTTTGTTTTCCTCAGCTTGGATACCTTTAGCCTTAACTGAATTCATGAATAAAAATATTTTTAAATAAAAGAAACTCAATATTTTACAAAGGAGAATTCAGGCAGTAGAAGATTTATAGAGATAGTTGTTCATTTCCTCAACTAGATTATCAAGAGATTCATTTTTGCTAAGCCCTTCTCAGCCTGCTGTCTTTGTTTTAGGAATGTACAGGCATGTACACTAATAACCGGAAATTTCATTCTGAAATTCTCTCATAACACCTTCATACAGCAATTCTTGGGGCTGGTTGAGTAGCACCTCTTCTTGTGCTTCTCTTTTTCACTAAGGTAAACCTGCTCCATGGCCCCATGGGATATTTTCCATTGCATATCATTGACCATAACTGCATCCCATGCTTTCAGCTAAACCAGTGTTTGACAAAGGTAATGGATGCCACGAAAATGGGATTCTTAATAAAGAAGAAAAGGAAATTGTTGTTGGGAAGGCAATCAACAGTGTTCTCTGTAGAATTATGGTATGTCATTGGGCACTGCTAGTTATGGTTGGTGTCTAGTCTGAAAGCTGTTGGTATCTTGAAGTCATAGCAAATAATGCATAGCATCTACCATGAAGCTCAGTATCATCTCCCCTCTTGTTACCGATGAGGAAACTGAGGTCTAGGGAAGTCGATTGTTTTAGTCAGGATCATGGCTCTGTATAGTAGCAGAATTTGAATTTAATATACCAGATTGCTACAACAGTATTTTTCTCTATTATGCCTTTCTTTGTGTTAGTCCAAATTCCCTATCTTTTGTTAGTCCAACAGGAAAGTACCATAACTGGGTAAAAGTGGACCAATACAATTCAAGTTCTTCTAGGTTATATTTATAGAGAGAGTAATGAATATATCTTTGATATTTTACATGAAAATCTTGTGTCAAACAAACACGATTTATTTTAAGCCTAGGATTAACTAAAATTAATTGCTTTAGGTTATTTTTATAACCTAAAAAATTTGAAATTCATCATAAGAATGCCTTTTTTATATTTTTATAACCTAAAAAATTTGAAATTTATCATAAGATAAGAAAGCCATTTTCTCTGTTTCCTTAATCTAGTATCTTAATTATCAAGTATATTTTTTCCATTAAGATATTTTTTTCATTTCCAGTGTATTGCATTGAATCCTATTATATGCTATCCAGAATTTTGGGAATCATTTTATACTGCTATCTGTGTATTTTATGCTACAGCCACTAAAACAGTGTTGAAATGACTTTTATTGACCTCAGCCTTGAGCCCAGAGTGTTCTTCTACTAGCCCTGCACTTTCCCCAACTAACACATTTCCTGTCACCCTGGACAGTCCTCTTTGGATTACACTCATAGTCTGGCCCATCACATAGGGCCCTGAAGGGCCATATTCTTCACTTTGTTGCAGTTGAACTCTGTATTTCATTTTTTAGTTTGTTCTCTTAAGTAGTTTTCCTGTATCTGCTGACTACCATTGTCTTTGGTGAAGAATGTAAGACCACAGAATACTGATGAGAAACTTTGGAGCCCTGGTATATTTCTCAGTTTTCCTCAAATCATGCTTATTAGCAGCTTTCTGACATGCCCTTATGTTTTACTAACATCCCTCCCTCCACCCCAGCCATCTTTATTGGTTAGCCTTACTACTTATTGACAAAACAAAAAAACAAATCCTTCTCTTCTTCCAAAGAGGGAAAATAATGTATATGGAAACGCAGACTACGAGATGATCTGAGGGACTGTCATTATTCTCTGGTAACTGCTGCCAAATTTCAGAGTTAAGTGTGTTAGTGCCATATAACACATTAGGTATCGTTGGCTTGCATACCACCTACATTCCTAGGCCGGACCCAGATCATTTGCCCTTGCTAACTTGAATGTATGCCATTAAGTCATAGTAGATGCTCATTTTACAGAAGTGTAGAGAGCTCCCTATATATGGACAATGAGAGTGTTGCTTATTAGTGGGGTTTTTATGTCTTTGAATGTATGCCTCAGACCATTTCCAGTATGTCTTTGCTATGAATAATTCTCCCCCACTACCATCACCTTTCCCTAGGAGATCACAGGCACTATGTAAATGGATAGGAAGAATTTTTCCTCTTTCTCCTCACTCAACTTTTTGACTTCATTGTGTATTCTGGCTGTGTTAATTGATTCTGCTGTTATTTCTCTGTAATTCTGGATTTTATCTCAGATCTATTCCAATAGCCATCACTGATTTATCATGTTTAGCAGTAAAATGAAGCTCTCTGTCTTATTATAATTTGTCTGTTCTGGGAAAAGCATTTTCTAACCACCCCCCTGCCTGATCTGCCTGTATTGTTGCTCTAGTGCTACTGTTTATTCAGAAATCAAGGCCCTCACCCCTCACCCTGACACCCATACTCTTCACAGTGAGTCCCTGATGCTCCTTAGTCTTGTCTTCCACTACTTGTCCTTTTTTACCTTATCCATATTCAAATTGGGCTTCTTTCCCAAATGAACACTGTACTTCCCTATATCCTTGCCCCATAGTCCTTTGCCTTTCTGATAGAATATGCCTTTTTCCTCACACCAAACACAATGTATTTAATAGTCAAGCATTCTCCAAGGCCATCTCTTGTGCTGCCTTCTCCCTTGGGCTTTTGTTTGGAAATATTTTGCCATATTTTACCACAGTAGTTTGTCTACTTCTCAATTTTCTTCTGCTGCTTTATATACTTTAAATCAAGGACTGTGTCTTAGTCACATCAGTCAATATTTCTAGTAAATAGTACTCTTCTGACCTTTGATGAGCTTTTATGGAGTCTCTGAGGCTGAGGTCAGTGTTGTGCTTAGAACACGTGTAATCAGTCTTTTAACACCTAGGTCAAGTTCTTCTGATTCACAGCAATATTTTGTTTCCTGTGTCATTGTCAATCAGTAACACTTTAAAATATTTTAAAGCAATAACAATTGATTTACTACACTTTAGCTCTTCCTAGTACATTTTATCTGTATATCCTCTAATTTCTATTTCCCTTCTTTGAAACTAGGCCACTGACATCTGTGACCCTAATCCAATCCTGATGCTTATGCTTTGTGTGTACATGTATGAGAGGCTCCCTACATACCTCCCCAAGAAGGTGGTGCCCTTTCATTGTGCTCTGCATGACACTGTGTTGAGACAGGTAAGGATATATTTGGGGCCAAAATATACACGGAGGTAAACTTATAAGAACGGTTTTAGCTTTTCTTTCCCAGTCCAAATGTAACAAAAGTACCAATATGACATAAAAAGCCTTAACAACTGTTGCTCCTTCTAAACCAAAGGTATAGTAGAGTGAAAGGGACAATTTGTGCTTAATAATAATAAGCACCTATAATGACTCTTTCATTCATTTGATGAATGGGGTTTGGGAAAGTGGAAAATGAAAAGTAAGCACTTTGAAGAGCAAATCTTTTCAGGAAACTTAAGATCCATTTCATGTACAAGACTGACAGCATAAGTGGAAAATTGTGATCTGAATGTGCTCAGCTTTCCTTTAGGGAGCAGCTTACTCATCCAGATGGATTTTGTTCAAACAAACATATATAAAGGTAAATAATAATGACACTGCTCCTGACCAGGGCCACCTAATTCTCACTACAGGAGTTTATATATGCTGGAGCTGCTAAATGTGTAGCAGTGTACTTTTTAACTTGCAGAAAAAAATTGAAAATGAAATTTTGAGTCTCATAAAAAATGGCAAATGTATATAAATATATCCATATTTTGCAAGTATTCTCTTTAATTGAAAAATATCTTACCAGGGATCATTGTTTTTTTCAAACAATTTGTTGCATATTAACACTTGTGAAATATCTTCTAGCATATAATTTTAAATTGCTTGTACTTATCTAAGATTGTTCCTTCCACTAGTTTTTTTGATAAAATCTTCAACCACATTTATAGGCCTCTCCTTGTGTCTTTCTCAGGACATTATAGGCTGATAGAATCTTCTTCTGTACCAAAATTAATTAACCACTTTGGTCAGATCATATTTCTTTCTTTTCCTCAAGCTGTTTTGTGTATTCCTTCTCATATTTGGTTGAGGGAGATAATGTTATACTTTCAGTGCAAAACTTGCCCATATTTGGTGTTCAAAAGCTATGTCTTGGTGACCTTTGATTTGTACTTATAAACTCTTTGAGAAAATCACTCTGTAGGCTCTGTAATGGGATGAGCCATGATGGTTGGTAAGGATTCAGTTAAAAGTCAGGAAAAACTCAGGTTCTTGTCTCAAAGTATAAAGGGCTCAATTTAGGGAAGAGAAGCCTCTTGTTATAATTTTTGCTAGCAAACATTGAGATATGTTTTTTTAGCAAACACTCAGATAACCTTTAAAAAATTTTTATTCTTTTCCCTTTTTTGTCCAAAAAAAGAAATATAAAACTCTTTAGAAGATTTTTTTCAACCGTTTTTACTATGATAGTTCCCTAACTGCAATGATATTCAAGGACTTTGGGGACTAACCAGCCTAGTGCTGTAATTATATTGAAGAGGACTTTTGACTTCAAAATAAAATTTCCAAGGTGTTAGAAATGTTTTGATAAGCCTGCAGAAAATAGGGGGAGGCTGAATTAGATGAAACTGATTTAGTACAGTTAAGTATTTTTACCAGTTCTTGAATTCTGTCCAGATATTTGTGTTTCTTTATGTCACTTAGTTGTTGTTATTTTAAAAAAGTAGTTAATAACACAAGCTAATGTTTAAACAAAATTTTCATTGTGACTTTAAAAACCAAATTAAGGAATATTAAAATGGAAACATGATTTCTTTCCACATTTAACTCTTCACTAGGAATAATGTTCAAACCCTAAGGTTATAGATGAAATTATATATATATAGCTTCTATTTCACAAATGTAAGGTATGTCTTTTGAAGGAAACAATATAAATTAAATACAAATGCAAAACAAAATGTCAGTTACAACAAGCTTTGATTTTAAATTTCACTGATTCTGAAATTGTTAAGAATCTTTGGTATAGTTTGCCCCTGTGTGTCAACACCATAAATGACAGTGCCTAAATCAGAGAATGTCATTTTTACCAATCCTTCTTCCTCTAGGATAAAGAAAAATCTCAAGAAATGGCTACTTTAATTGAAAAACTATTTCTATAGTTATACTATAGAATAATAGAATGTTAGAACCCATAAAAATATAGTAATCAATGAAAAAATGTACAGTGCAGTGATTTTCTGAGACATTTTTAAATTGAAGTCTTTTCTTTTTGAAACAAAATTTACACAGAAGCACAATAGTTAAAGAATGGCTGTCATTGAAAAAGTTACAAAAGGGGAATCGAGACTCCAAAGCTTGCTTTCTTTCCCTTGAACAGCTTTCCCCTCTCCCCATTTACCACTCACCACCCCTACATGAGTTGGGTGGGAAAATCTGATCACAGACGAGTGCAATGCCATTAGGTCATACATGTGATATGACCTAATGAGGATGAGTGGCTTCCTTAAGATCTCAGGACTAGTTATGGAAGTTCCAGACCTGTAAACCAATAACAGTTCAGAGGGAATCTACTATGCTTGTCCACATTTCCTTTCAGAAAGTGGAAATTGCTCTCTAGAATTTAAAATCATGTGGTCTGTTAATTAATACTTTAAACACATGCACATACATACATGCATACACAGATACATAAAAATAACACACTATGGTCTCTTGTCCCATTGTAGCTGATTTCTATAAGTAGATGAACAAAATGAGACCCCCAAATCCTTGGGGAAACTGAAGATAGACACTCTTCAGCAATAATATACTTGTCCTAATAGTTAGGAAAATTCTCACTGAAATAAAAAAGTAGTTAATCTTCCAACAAAGCTCTGTCATATTCCTTATGATTCACTACAGTCACGTATAGTGCTAATCTTTAACCCTTCAAATATCTGTGACTATCATTCCTGGACTATTGCCACCTTTTTCCCACTCTAATTTGGCCAATCAGCCATGCCTTCTCCCTTCCCGAGTCAGTACTTTCCATGGTAACGTTGTGTCTTCCTAATGTGTGTGCGTGTTTTGAATCCCCATTATATTCTACATAAACACCTGTGTACTCACATTTTATATGAAATATTCTCTCTAAAAATTAGGTAACTCATTCTCAAATACTCTGCTTGCCTTGGCATCAGGAAGAAAGAGAAAGCCAACTCCTAGGTCAACTACCGCTTCTAGATGAGGCTACCAGCATTTCCAGTGTAGGCCTTGGTTTTTAAACCTACACTCCTTGTAGCATTTCCTCCGCCAAGCAGCCAGAGTATCCTTTTTGTAATTTGGATAATATAAATTCTGTGTTTGAAATTCTCCAAAGGTTTTCCTTTGCAGTAAGAATAAAATCCAAGTGACCAACTTTGGATTTCACATCTTTGATGATCAGGTGTTTTACCTCTGTCATTTCATTGCTTGAAAGCTCCTTCTCTCTGCCGACTAGGTTAATACACACACACACACACACACACACACACACACACATATGATCTTTAAATACAAAATCTGCTTTCCTCCAGTTAGTGCACATGAGGAATAAGTATTTTCATGATTAAAATATATAACTCTGATTAAAGTGTTAGGTTGTATATTTTAAAAATTAGTGACCTTATTTATACTCTGTTCTTCAACATAGATTCTACTGAAAAATCCAAGCTCCAAAAACTTAGTGTATAATGCTACAATTGTTGGAAGAGATGCCTCTGACTTCTCCCTCTCCCATTCAGGGAATGTTGTGACAATTTCTCCAAGGTAAGTGTTTGGTTCGGTTTTTTTTTTGTTTTTTGTTTTTTAATTTTACTTCATTGAATACATCAGCCCTAGAGATTTACTGTATGTTATAATTATAAAAGACTGACCTGGGTTTGTTTTTAAACTGACATATATATATACATACATACATACATACACACACACACACACACACACACACACACACACATATATATGTGTGTGTGTGTATAAAATGAAAAGAGTCAGTTAGACATAAATTATTCATATGTTACTGAGATTCCCACCAACTTTGTTAAAAGAATTCTAACAACATAGAACAGCTGTTTTCTATATATGCATTTAATTTTCATTTGTTTTCTATGCAAATGGACCATATAGATTAGACTATAAGTTGTTTGTATATATACTATAGTGATGTTTCACATAGGAAACTGGAATCAGTGTGTGCTAAATTTATGAACACACATTGTATATATTTATATTGTTTATTTTTATATAAGGTATATAAATATATGACATTAATATTATATACAGACAGTTGCTGACTTACTATGGCTTGATTTATGATTTTTGACCTATTCTCCACTCACCTATTTCTGTATTATAAATTATATCACAGAATAAAACTTCTTGTGAAAACAACCCACCCATTTTCTAAGTTATACATCTTACATGTGCAAAAGTGATACACATTCAGTAGAAACTTTGCTTCCAGTTTTGAATTTGGATCTTTTCCTGGGCTAGTGATGTTCAATCCAATAATCTCTCATAATGTTCGGCAGCATCAACGAGTTGTACCTCCTAGTCAGCCATGCAATCATGAGGTAAACAACAGATACACTTAGAACCCTTCTACACCCAAAGAACCATTCTGTTTTTTATTTTTACTACATTAATCAATAAATTACATAAGATATTCAAGACTTATTCTAAAATACAATTGTGTTAGATGATTTTGCTCAATAGGAGGCTAATGGAAGAGTTTTGAGCATGTTTAAGGTGGGCTACACTAAGCTATGATGTTCAGTAGGTTAAGAGTATTAAATGCATTTTCAACTTACGATATTTTCAACTTATGATGGGTTTATCAGGATGTAACCCCATCATAAGTTAAAGAAGGTCTGTATGGTCATTTCTGATTATAAAGGCAAAATGTGCTTATTGTATATACATACTGAATTAAATATGGGGAAAACTATTCTCCACTCACCTATTTCTGTATTATAAATTATATCACAGAAGAAAACTTCTTGTAAAAACAACCCACCCATTTTCTAAGTTATACATCTTGCATGTCTGTTATAAAATGCAATTTTGGTAATGCAAGTTCATTTAGACATTGTCACGGTAACATTTGTCTTCCCTCAAGACTTTGCTAATTAAGATCTATTCTTTGCCCTTCAAGTAGGATGATTCAAGTGAAGCGGTTTCAGGTCCCCTCCCACCTTTTTTTTCAGTTACAAACCCAATAGCCTCTTCCAGTATTTCAAAGCTCTCATTATGTTGAAATTCTTCCTCACAACCCACACTAAACCTCTGATATTTTAGCTTGGGACCACTTTTCTTGTTACTGAAATTAACATGTATACTTTGTGTTTTAAATCTAAAACCTGTATATTGTTGAAAATTTGACTGTTACATGGAAGTGTAAAGAGGAAAACAAAAATCACCTAGAGCCCTGTCATATAAACACAGTTAATGTATTAGTTCATGTCCTTCCAGTCTTTTAAATGCACAAGTATGGGTTTATTATAACATATGTATAATTACGTATTTAGAAAGTAAGTGCATTATATGTAAATATTAACATACTTAATGTTTAACATTTGCTATGTACAAAATCTATGTAATATGTATTTTATGTACCTTTTCATATTTGATCATCCTAACAGCCATATTAGTGTCTTCATTTTATAAAAGAAAACACTGGGCACAAAGATATTAAACCTTTCGCCCAATTTTCCCATCTGTTAAATGGTGAAGTAGAGATTGAAAGCCAGTCAATCTAAATCCAGAGTTTGCACTCTTATTAAAGTGATACCTGCACATACTGTGTGTGTGTATGTGTGTGTATCACATTCATGCAAAGCCCTGGGCATTCTGTAAAATGTGGCTTTGACTATTTGTAAGCAACCCAGAAGGTCTATGACATGTGATTGTACTATCTTTATGCCTCCAGGAACTAGTTTCTGAGAATTTTTCACTTGGGTGGACCTAATAGACTATCTCCTACTAACTTCTCAGCAGTGCTATTTTTTTCACCATTTCTGGTGTATAAATATAAACAAATTCATAAATACTAGCTTCTTAAAGTTTTTAAAACATACCAAGTGAACATTAACTGGCCTATATATACATGTGATCATGAATATGTGTTCATATTTTCACCGTATTGAAGATGTACATGTACTCTTGTTTTCAACCTTTTTTTACTCAAAATTTAACTTGCACATGTTCTAACAAGTCAAATATGCAAAGGAGTTTAAAATGAAAAGTAAGTCTTTCTCCCTTCAAATCCCTGTCTCCAGAAGTACACCTCTTGAGCCACCTACTTTGAACCCTTTCAATTATGTCTAATTTTAGTTCTTCCAATAGTTGTGTCCAGAAATATAAATAATCTCTATTTATTTGCCAATAGTTTATCACCTTCAAAACTAATCTATTGTCATAAAACTATAGCATTTAATAACCTAGCTTACTTACTTCTCTAGATTTATTGCTCTGCCCTCAAACGTCATTGGTTTATCTCCTATTCATTATTTTTTGAAGAGTGAAAATGTGTTTTATAAATATTTCTCTCACCATCAGTATACAAACTATCTTTTGACTCCTTCTTTCTGAAGCTGAGAAAATTAATACATTCTAAAGAAGTGCATACACTGTGAAGTCTCTCTCCTCCCATTGTACCACATTCTAGAGCACTTCACCTTTTTCTCTTATTTGGGCTGATTACTTTCCAAAAATATTGAAGAGATGTTCATATTGGATATTCTCTGTTTCTCTTTGAATAGAAACTAAAATCTTTCTTCATTTACTCACTCATTTACTGGAAAACATCCTTATAAAATCTTCTAACAAAAATTATGGGAGAGGTAAATTACACAAGATTTTACATTTCTAAGCATGTCTTTTTACTACCTTTACACTTGATTTATATTTTGCTTGGTATATTATTCTAAGTTGAAAAGATTTTTCCTCATAACTGTTAAGAGAATTATTCCATTGCCTTGTAGTATTTCGTACTTGTGATGGGAAAGTCAACTATAATTCTGTTGCCCCACACCTCTGAAAGTTTTTAGGCTCTTCCTTTGTGTTCTGATACTATTTCAGAATACATGAAGGAGGGTCATTTTTTACTCACTGTCTGGGTACACAGTGAGTCCTTTGATTGTGAAGTAGATTTTCATCAGCTCTTAAAAATTCTCTTAAATAATTTCTTTCATAATTTTCTCCTCCATGTTTTCTGTTCTCATTTTCCAACCTTTAGTTGTTGGATATTGAACATGTTAATTGTATCTTCTGTGTATCCTATTTTATCACTAGTATTTTTCATCTCATTGCTTTCTCCTCTCTTTATCAGTAAGCCTTCTTTCCCAACTGTTGCCTTTGGGGGGATAGAGAGAGGGAGAGAGGGAGCAAGGAAGGGAGGGAGAGAATATGAATCTCTGTATATATAGTTGACCCTTGAATAATATGGGTTTGAACCACATGGGTCCACTTATACAGGGCTTTCTTTCAATAAATACAGTACAGTACTGTAAAGGTATTTTCCTTATGACTTTCTTAGTGACATTTTCTTTTCTCTAGCTTATTTTATTGTAAGAAACAGTATATAATACATACAACTTTCAAAATATGTGTTAATTCACTATGTTATTGGTAAGGCTTCCAATCAGCTGTAGGCTATTAATAGTTAAGTTTTGGTGGAATTAAAATTTATACACAGATTTTTGTCTCTCCGGGGGTCAGTGCCCCTAATGTCCAAGTTGGTCAAGGGTCAGCTGTATATTTCTAAGTGTATTTTCTTTTTCATTGATTATTCCTATTTCATAACATCCCATTCTTAAATTGGGTTATAGTCTCTTCATAAGTAGACTCATCTCATCTATTACCTGTACTATTTTTCTTTTCTCTGATGTCACTTACATGCTTGTTTACCTTGGTTTCAATGTTTCATGTTGAAGGATTTACTCTAATGACTTGCAATACATGTTTATCCATTCATATGGAATAATACGGCAACAGAAAAGTAAATTGTGATTCTGTATTTGCACAGGTTTGTCAATTGGCATACTTCACTTTAAGGTGAAAAACATTCTGCTTTTATGCCCAATTACCCAGCATTCTCACTGGCCCTGGGGAGATGGGTTTTGTCTGAACTTCATCTTGCCTTCCATGAAAGTGGGTATTTCTGGAAATGGCCTCTCCAGGAGTCCACAGGCTAGCTGTGTTTCCTTTTTTAGCCTCATCAATAGTGTCCTCTAACTAGCAGCTTTTCAAAAAGTCATTTTATTATAATTTTAGTGTGATTTCTCTTCAAGAGGTGATGAATGTGGGATTCAGATGCCATTGTGGTCTAGAATCCTCCTATCATGTCATTTAACAGTTAAATGGGGGACTTCAACACTGACGTGCAGGCTCTATGATTCAGCCTCATTTTTCTTATGTGGAGGATGAGAATATACCCACAGTGTTGTCGGTCATAAGTGTAATTACATAGGCAAACACCTAGTACTATAAATGGAACATATATGTAGGAAGCAGTAAGTATTTGCACCCCCTGTTCTGAATTCAAAGTGCTGGTGATTCATAGATGAAAATATATCAACATTGCTCACAAGTGTTTACAATCTAGCAGAGTGCCCTAGAAGCAAATACAACATGAAGATTAATTTGATAATTGTTTTATTTGTGATGTATGTATGGAACTAGAGAAAAATGGAAAAAAGAACCTCTTAAATGTTCTTGGGGAAACCACAAAAGGGATCCCAGAAGAGGGAATGCATAATTCTCAATGTACATGGAAAACAATTCTTCACTTTGCTACAAGCATTTTATTTTGTAGGCTTGGATACTATTATTCAGTGGTTCTGTTTTTAGCTAGACTACACAATTTCATAATCTTTGGTTTTTCTGTATAGGGTTCTGAAAATATTTTGTTTTCTTAAAAAATCTATAGCTTTATCATCATATATTAAAGAATTATCTCTGTGTATCACATTTTGTCATAGACTTATTCTAAATCACCATTAATAATGGCTCTTTCTGCCAGCTGTGGATTTTTATTCCCAGCAATATCATTTATATAGAAAAGATTCAACAGCTACATCAACATATAAACAAACATTTTATTTTTAGATCTAATTTGATAACTACACTTAGCTATAACCACAGAGTGACTGTCATAAAAAGTGAAAGTATACTTTCGGAATATCATTTTGCTTCTTTTTTTCCTCATTATTCTCATTGAGCCATATGGGCACTGACATTGATGTGTTATATATTTATTCTCCATCTTTTGCAAAAGCCAAGTTTAAGTAGCTTATGATTCACATGCAATATTAAGATCTTAGTTAATTATTTATTTATACATCATCTCCTTTAAAAAATTTATATTGAGGTATACACAATAAAATGCACAAATCTTAGTGTACAGCTTGTTGCACTTTGACATGTGTATACACCTCTGTAACCATCGCCTGGATAAAGACATCAAACATTATCACTAATTTTTCCTCCTTCATCCATTCCACCTATCCCCTCCCCCTGCCATGGTGACCATCAGTCTGTTCTCTGTGTTTATGAGCCTATTTCTGTTTTGTTTGCTCATTTGTTGTTTTTTAGATTTCACATATCAGTGAAATCATATTATATTTGCCTTTCCCTGACTGACTTATTTCACTTAGCATAACACCCTCTAGGTCCATCTATGTTGTTGCAAATGGCAAGATTTTATTCCTTTTTATGGTTGAGTAATATTCCATTATATATACATACAAGGAGTTTTTTTAAAAAAAATAAGGTGTAGGCAATTGGAACAAAATGAAAACAAAAGGTAAGGAAGTTAATATGAAGCCTATAACTATACATGTCTGGAGACCTAAGACTCTTACAGAAGCAGACTACCTGTTTGTTTCTAAATTTACTAACACATTCAGGAAGGAATCCTGGTCATTTACATGCTTCAGCATGACTTCAACATTTTTAAAATGTCTATACTCAATAGAAGCTCAAATATTCGTGGTCTTAAAACCAGCCATTGGCCTCATAAAAAGGATAGTGTACTTTAAAATGTGTTTGATAAGATTTAAGTATAGATCCATAAATTAATTTATTAAGAGCATAATATTTAGATTATGATCATTCTTAAACACCTCTCTTCATTTTCATCAGCTTCCATGAAGATCCATTCCTTTTCCAAGTGCCACTGATTTTGCCAAATATATCTTAAATTTGGCATATTTTCTCCTTATCCACCTCTTCCATCCTAACTTAATATACCATCATCTTTAAACTGGGCTGCTATTAATGATGAGGAATAGGTTTGTTGTTCTAATTACTCGATCGCAAAAATCTAAAACAATGCCTGGAACATTATGTATTCTCTTTAAATACCAATTGAATGAATAACTTTATCTAATGATGAATTTTATAATATCTAGAAAAATCCTAAATCATTCACAGGTTTTGAGTCTATACATCCTGAAAAAGATTTCAAGGCCAAATAACCTTTGTTCTTAATTAAATTCAATTCCATGAGCATTTCATAATGACAAAGAAAATTTCTTTTGTGTGAATTGAGGACATTAGTGATGACATATCTGAGTAAAAATCATCTCCACTCCTGCTATTGATTTTGAAAAGTCCCTCATTCACTTTACTCTCTGCCGCTCCTGGGGCTTACCCATTCAACAGTAATTTCATAAGGTTTCTGCGGAAGTTAAGCCAAAGTTTAACACTGACAACACCTATTCCCATCTCCATTCTCAAATATGTTCCTAAGAGAGGTGATAGTTTGTAGAAAAGAATAACTGTGATATGATGCATAATGCTAACTGTGCTAAAATTCAGGCCAAAAGCAAATATAAAACTTCCCCAAGAGTTAGCACCCACAGTTGTGTCAAGGCAAGGCAAGGCTGAAAGATCCAGCCCATAAAGAAACAATGAGTCCTTTTTTTTTTTAATTCAGATAGTTCATTACTTACATAAACTATGAAAACAAAAGTAATCAAGAGTACCACATCCCCATGTCCCCTGTGCAGGGCAGTGCCACAACAAAGGGTCAGATGACTGCATCTGTTGGTGACAGCCAATTTCAGGCTGCAGCTAAGTAGTTTTATAGCTCCTGAACTCTACCCTGATGGGGGCTAAGCATTGCAAGTCTTATACCACATCAGAATCTAGGAGGCAGTGAGAAACTGGTGATAGCCTCTCCTGAGGAATGTTCTTGTAGCACCCCTTCACGAGCCTCCATGCTCTTACATTATGTGAGGGTCACAGGCTTTTCTGCAAGGGCTTAGATCCACTGTAGTGAATCCTTGCATATGTGGCCTATGTGTTGTCAGACAAAGTTGCAAGGTGCCATGGTATAGTCATTCTCCTACACACTGGTAAGTGAAATCTCTTCCAAGAAGATAGACTCCTTAACATTTCACTGTGTTTTAAACTAGAAAGTTGAAGTTTCTCTCAAAAATCATGCTACTTACATACCATTATTTTGATTTGAGATTTGAATATTACTTTTAACTGCAGCTTTAAGTGTGTTTTTAATTCTTAGACGTTCTCATTTCTTTCCTCCATGTGACCAAAAACCAGTGATATGACTTTGAACTTCCCTAAACAGTTCCACAGAATGACCTATGAATTTCACACAAATACATATATGATGGCCTATGGCCAGCTGTTACAAAATCCAGTATTTGGTAGACTATATGTACATTTGAAGGTAATTTTAGATTTTTGCAGACTGGATCAAGATGTTTTAACTGATGACAATAACTAGATTGTAGGCTTCCTGAGATCTGTAACAGTCTATCTTTTTTTATTTTAATTCAAATGATATTCCCATACTTCCCTCTGGCCCTGTTCCACCCCCTCTGATACCTGGATACCTGCTCCCCAGTTATCAAGGTACTTCTTAGTCATTTCTTTCTATAACCAAAAATGTGGTATTTTCAAGGCTCGAAGGGTAGAATGGAAAGGTCCTCGTGAGTGATGGGGATAGCAGGGTCCCTAGCCTAATGCATAGGCATTTAATTAAAAGTGGCTCATTGAATTGAAAGTAGTGGATTAGCACATCCCAGAGCCAGCCAAGAAGGACTGGGGTAGGGGAACCTCTGAGCACAACACTCTAGTTTTGTTATAGAAGTGAGTATATTGCAGAGTGTAGGCTCTGGCACATGGTCTATAGAAAAGAGGTGCTTGTTTATTCTGTATTTTCAGTAAAATTTTTATTTTATCTTTTATCAAACAGAAACCAAGCTGATGTCACTCTGAAGTTTACCAGTCGCTTCCTTCATCCTTCTGAAGCCTCACTGCTGTTAATTTCAAAATCTAAGCATGCAGTCGGAGGCACTACCATGACTTTTGCTCTTAAGGGTGAAGTCCTCAATTTTAAAGGCATTGTAAGTAATTTTACCTATTTCGTTTGTCTTGGCTTCTCTTCTCAAGCCATGGAGTGTCCTAAGCATGGCTTCTCTTCGAGGTTTTATCTCTGTGCAGCTCTTACTCTTTGAGATCATGAGTGGATAGACATATAGATATGCACATTCCTTCACCTGCATAATTCTTGGCTTCTGTTTCTCTGATGATCTTGCTCTGATACTCCTGTTAAAATACATCTCCAATTTTTTTAAAGAGTTTGAAAGGAGTATTTTGTATCAAGTATTATTTTAAGGTCAGATTTTTAGGATTATATTTGATCTTTTCATGATGGAGTCATTCACTAGACATATAGCAACTTAGATGCCCTTCTGCCATGGAGAGTTGTGATTTAAGTTAAAGCAGTTCCTGGGCTTCTGTCTATATTTTTGTTTAAATTAGGTGTTGGTTTACACAGCAAAGAAAATGTTTCTCTTCTGTAATAGAAACATTCATCAGCTTATCTTGATGTTCCAGACAGAGATCTGTTTGTATCTCAAAGGATGGGGGAGAACGATTTTTAAATCTCTATAAAATGGTTGTGACATTGCTTTGGTTGACTTTCGGTAGCCATTTTGTCTAAATATTACTTTCTATCATGAATGTATGGTAGAGAAGAAGTAAGTCTGTTATGCTGCCAGATTTCTAAAATACGAAGAACTTTAGGTATGCAGTGGCATGAGTAGAAGCAAAGAGAGTGACTCTAGCTATGGCCAGCTGAGTGAGGATAGTGTAAGACGCTCCCATGAGCAGACTGGCTTGTTAGAAAATGACACCCAGAACAGGAAACAGGCATTTGATTGTCACTGAGATGTGCATTGTGATCTGATTTCCTCCTGAAGAGTGAACTTTTAAATTTCCCAATCCTCTTACACAAATTCTCTGAAACTAAACATCGTTTTGCCACATGAGTCTGAGACATAGAATTGTCTAAGCCTGTCATTAACATGACTCTGGGGCAGAAAAGCTGACACCTGAAGCTCATGTGGTTGCTCTTTACTTCTCCATCTGGCTACTCATGGTCTTAGTCATCAGAGAGTGGATTGGATAATAACCGAGAAATAAAGTAAGGTAGGAACACAATCAGTCTAAAAATGTAGAATTCCTAGAATCTTTTTCCTCCATGGAAGTCCTTTGGGTGGTTTGAAGTTTTAATTTTATATTTTTGCTTTTATTACAGTGCAAATATGTTAGTGGAACTATCACATTATAAGTACAGGCATCCCACACTCACATTCATACACAGATATGCAGGCCCTCACACACCTGTGTGCATGCACATGCGCACATCCCTGTCTCAGTCTCATCCTTATGTTGTGTATTAGGTGTGTGCATATATATATGTATGTATATATATATATATATACATACATATATATATGATTGATTCATTTGCAAATGTGAAAACATGCTGTCATTAACAAAACCAATTATAAGAAAGTCAATTTAGGGGACCCTATTATGACAAAGAGTTCAGTTGTTAGCACACTAGTGTGTATCAGTGATGAGGTAAAATCTACTTTTATTCTTTCCTGCCTAGATTTTAGCAGTGTGGGGAAAGGGGCTTTTATAAATTAATATTGCTCTAGTATTTAAATGGACCATTTTTTAGGTGCTTTAAGTTTATATTTTATAATTCAGGATATTCTTTTTTATTGTTATCATAAGTATGTTTTATTTATTTACTTTAGGAAATTATAAAATGCAAATCCCCATGTTATAAATGGAAAGAAATCATTGTGAATGTTAAAAATCCCTTCCATTCTGCTGGAGATTTCAGGTAAGTTATTGTTTTGGTGTAAATTCATTGCAGTTAGCCATTTCTAATCTTAAGAGAAATATGTAATTTTCCTCTTGTGAACCTTTTTGAAGAGAAATTTTATATATTTCATTGCTATAAATGTGTGATGTCAATAAAATAGAACAAATAGTGAAGGTACATCAGTTTTCCTTGAAATACTTTATGTTTTATACAAAGCTAGCACTGATCATATCAAATTTATGAAGTGTTATAAGCTTTCTGTTTGAGCTTTACTCTTTAAATCTTTAAAAATTTATAATTGACTTTTTTCCTTCTAACTTTATTCCATCTTTTAATTTCCAAAAGAGAAATATTGATTAAAATAAAATGTGTTTTTACTTAAGGCACTGTGATTATTTAAGTGTGTATTTTGCGCATCTGGAGATTTAACAACAACATAGATTTGAGATGAAAAAACAATAGAATGCTTATGTGTTATTTAAGGTCAAAGTAGAAAAACTATCTGTGAGAAGATGGGCAATGGTGGCTTATGTACTGCTTAAATTATGAGCTCTATTTCTACCAGCTTCAGATCCTCACAACAGTACTTGTGTTGAGACTGGAAGTTGTATTATGCTAATTATTTTAGTATTTGATGACTTCCAGTTTTTAAAATCATTGTGTGTCTAGGCTTTGGTAATTTCTTATTTACAATGTTATTTGTTGACAAAACGAAACCTCTGTTGTTAAAAGTTATTGGTGAACTTATGGTTCCCATGTTTGTGCAAGGGAGAATTTTATTTACTGTAATTTTATTTAAGTTTTATATTGGAATATGAGGGAAAAAATGACTATATGGCATTAACACAGTATTAAAATATGTCCTTACATGCAGCAAATGACTGACTACAGTTCTTCAGAGGAAATCAGGATCAGACATACTTAGTCTTGCATTCTGGCAGTAGAGCTGGAAGAAAATCTCAAAGTTCATAAAATTGGTAGAATATTATAGTTGCATGTTTCTCAAAAAATCATAATCTTTTATTGTTACTGTACGGTTTAACTCAGAGTGAATTAAAATTGTTACTTCTTGTGAGGGGTGCATGGTTTGGTAGAGGACAAGATGGTTAATTGGGTAATTTTGACTCCTTCCTCCCTTGTATAAATGTGGCCCTCAAATTTAGGCAATGGGCATATAAACTCAAAACTTTAGAACTAATCAAAAACTTTGTAAAGTCAACATTTCACAGTAAGCATATATTGCTTTTAAAATTTAAAAATGAATAGATTAAAAAAGTAAAAATAATGGCGATGAATTCATAGAGACTATTTTTGTTACAAAATATAAATGACTTAGGTTTTAATATTACACTTACAAAAGTGATCAGAATTTAGTTATTAACCATCCATTAAACATACCTTAAAATAAAGTAAAAATTACCACATATTTTCCCCAAAATTATATGCAGCACAGTGACCAGATTTGATCATTTTTTTATCAAAATTTAACGTTACTTATAACAAAAAAGGCACCCCAGCCTAGATTTAACAAAGACAGGATTAGCCCCCATGCCCCTACTGGATCTGTAGTTCTCAAATACCTCTTTTGCAAAATGCAACTATTTCTTGCTGTATAATGGTTTTTACATGTTGTAAGGTTTGGTTTGCTAGTATTTTGTTGAAGATTTTACGTTTATAATCACAGCATTTAACAGTCATTACCTTTTCTTGTAATGTCTATATTTTTATTATCATTTAATACTAGCTTCAGAGAATGATTTGGGAAATGCTCCTTTCTATTTTATTTTTTGGAAGAGTTTGTGAAGGATTGGTATTAATTCTTTTAATGTGGTAGGATTCACATCTGACGCCGTCTGGTTCTGAGCTTTGCTTTGTGGGAAGTGTTTATTTGTTATGGACCTAATCAGATTTTCTATTTCTTCTTGAATCTGGTAGTTTGTGGCATTCTAGGAATTTGCGCATTTCCTCTACTATCTAATTCGTTGGCACAGTTTTCATAGTATTTCTTTATAGTCCTTTAAAAAAATGACTATATAATTTTGTATAATTGATACACAAAAAAGTTGCACATTTAGTATATACAATTTGTTGAGTTTGGACATATACAGCTATATAATACTGTCACCACAATCGAGGTAGTAACATAGCCGTCACTTCCAGAAGTTTCCTTGTGTTCCTTTTTTTCTATGATAAGAATGATTAATGTGAGATTTGCCCTCTTAACAAATGCTTAAGTGCATAATCCTGTTTTGTTAACTGTAGGCGCTATGATGTGCAGCGTATCTCTGATACTTACTCATCTTGCATAACTGAAACAACTTCCCATTTCATCCTTTTTCCAGCCCTCAGCGACCACCATTCTGTTCCCTGCTTTCTGAGTTTGACTATTTTAAATACCTCACACAGCATTTGTCCTGTTATGACTGGCTTATTTCACTTAGCCTAATGTCCTCAAGGTTCATCTCAGGATTTCCTTCTTTTTTAAGCTGAATGATAGATAGTCCACTGTTTATACACACACACACCACATTTTTCTTATCCATTCACTTTATCCATTCATCTGTCAGTGAACATTTGGGTTGTTTAGATTGTTTCCCTATCTGATTATTATGAATAATGCTGCAATGAATGTGAGAGTGAAAACAGCTCTTTGAGATGCTGATTTCAGTTCCTTTGGATAAATACCCAAAGGTGGAATTGTTGGATCATATGGTATTTCTATTTTTAATTTTTTGAGAAACCTCCATGCTGTTTTCCATAGTGGCTGCACCAATTTACATTCCCACCAGCAGTATACCGGTGTTCCCTTTTCTTCATATACTCACCAGTGTTTGTGCTCTCTTGTCTTTTCAATGACCGTCTTTCCAACAGGAGGTGAGGCCTCATTGTGGTTTCTGATTTGCATTGAGGTAATAATAAATTAGATTGAGTAACTTGTTATATACTTGTTGGATATCTAATACGTCTTTGGAGAAATGTCTATTCAGCCCCTTTGTCCATTGTTAAATTGGTTTTTAATTTCTGAATTGTAGGAGTTTCTTTATATTTTAGATATTAACTCCTTATCAGATAATGGTTTACAAATATTTTGTCCTGTTCCATAGGTTACCTTTTCACTCTTTTGATTGTTTCCTTTGCTGTGCAGAAACTTTTTAGTCTAATACAGTCCTACTTGTCCATTTCTGCTTTTGTCGCCTGTGCTTGTGTTGTTATATGCAAGAAGTTACTGTCAAAATCAATGTCAAGAAGCTTTTCCCCTATGTTTCCTTCTAGATTTATGCCTTTAGGTCCTACACTTCAGTCTTTAATCCGTTTTGAGTTGTTTTTTGTTTATGGCATAGCATAAGGTCTGGTTTCATTCTTTTGCATGTGGATATCCAGTTTTGCCAGCATCGTTTGTTGAAGAGACTGTTTTCTCCCATTGTGTGTCCTTGGCACCCTAGCCGAAGATCAGATGATGGTTTACATGGGATTTATTTCTGGGCTTTCTTTTCATTTCCATTGGTCTAGTATGTCTGTCTTTAAGCCACTGCCATACTATTTCCATTACTTTATAATATATTTTGAAATCAGAAAGTGTGATGCCTTCATCTTTATTCTTCTTTCTCAAGATTATGTTAGCTATTCTAGGTTTTTCATGGTTCCATACAAATTCTAGGGTTGTTTTTTTCTGTATCTGTAAAGAATAACATTGGGATTTTGATGAGGATAGATGACTTTGGTTAGAGTGGACCTTTTAACAATATAAGACTTTCAATCTACACACACAGAATGTCTGCCCACTTTTGTGTGTGTCTTTTTAAATTTCTTTCACTACTGTTTTGTAGTTTTCAGTGTATAATCCTTTCACTTCCTTGCTTACGTTGATTCCTTAGTATTTCATTCTTTTTTGATGCATTGAATATGATTGTTTTCTTATTTTCCTTTTCAGATAGTTTGCTGTTAATGTATAGAAATGCAACCAGTATTTTTTAATGTTGATTTTTGTACCCTACACCTTTGCAGAATTTGTTAGTTCTAATAGTTTGGGGATTTTTTTGGTGGGGGGTCTTTAGAGTTTTCTATAAATGAGGTTATGTCATCTACAAATAGAAATAATTTTACTTCTTCCTTTCCAATTTTGATGCCTTTTATTTTTCTGGCATAATTGCTTTTGCTACGATTCCAGTACTGTGTTGTACAGCAGTGATAAGAGTGGGCATCATTGTCTTTTTTCTGATCTTTAAGGAAAAGCTTTCAGTTTTTCACCATTGAATATCATGTTAATTATAAGTTTGTCTTTTACAGCTTTTATTACGTTAAGGTGCATTTTTCTATACCTGATTTGTTGAGAATTATTATAAAAGGATATTGAATTCTGTCAAATGCTTTTTCTACATCTATGGAGATGATCATATGATTTTTATATTTCAATCTATTAATGTGGTATATCACATCTATTGAGTTCTGCATGTTGATCCATCCTTGCATCCCAGGGATAAATTCCACTTGGTAATGGTATATGATCTTTTCAGTGTGCTGTAAATTTTGGTTTGCTTGTATTTTGCTGAGGGTTTTTTGCATTACTGCTCATCAGGCATATTGCTCTATAATTTTCTTGTAGTTTATTTTTCTGGCTTTGCTGTCAGGGCAATACAGAGTTTGGAAGTGTTTACCATTACAAAATACCTCTTTTCATGTACAGTTGCATTTGCATTTTTTGTTTTGAATTCTTTCATGTCTGGTATTAGTATTGTACTCAGCTTATGCATGACATATATTTTTCTATCCTTTAACTTTCAATCTGTTTGTATCTTTGAATTTCAAGCATGTCTCCTGTAGGGAGCATGTAAGTTGGATCTTGTTTTGTTTGTTTTTTAAATCTGGTCTTACAATTGCTGCCTTATAATTGGATTGTTATTACTTAAGTATTGATGTTATTATTGATATAGTTGGATTTATGTCTGTCGATATCCATTTGCTTTTCTATGTATTTCATGTCTACTTTTTGTTAATCTATTCTGCCATGACTATTTTAT